ACATGAAACCATCCATTGCAAAGTATCTTCCTTCAACATGTACCAAATACTCATGCTAGCTTTAAAGAAGGCAAGAATTCGGTGGAAAGAAATAGCAGGCCATTCTTAGCAAAATATTTTAGTCTATAAAGAAATGAAGGCATTGAGATCTTGTTGAAAAAATGAACTTCATAAATCAATTTAAAATTGGAAAGCTGCATACAGACTAAATTGACAGATATGCCTTGATAGGTGTTAACATCTCAGCACATGTCCCACCACTATGACAGAGATCCTCTATGTGCTTATTCTTGGCTACCAACAGGAGCATGAGTTAACAAGCCAGTTGATATTCGTTAGTATTATGGGGCTGGGAAAATGGGAACGACTTTCCTGAAATGAGCTAAATAGAAACCTGAAGTGTCTATAATTCATCAGATCATGGCACAAGAAGATTCACGTGCAGTCACCCTAAATTTTACAATAACTAATTATTCTTAAATTTATAATATTCAGTGCCCTTCCAGCTGAGAGAGTGAGATCATCGGAAAAATATTTCTATCTGTACTGGGAGGGAAACTAAGATTCAGGAGGGCGAACTTTTCTCAGATCCCAATTTTACTACTTGCTAGTCACACTTAAGATTAGAGATCAGGCAGTAGGGTGAAATTAAATTCACTCATCTGCCTTTCCAGCTGGTAAGATATTGCTCTGATCCTACCTAAATTACCCTGAACACAATTCAAGTTTACATCCTTGAATGAAAGAGCTGTAAGAATCTTCTTTTAAAGTGAATCCTCTATTCTGTGAGTGCCCATGCAGAGCACAGGGCAATAGGAAGGAGGTCCCTTACAGTGCTGGCCTCTGAGCTGAAGTCTAGTGATGCTTTCCTGCCTCTAAAACATGGGGGATAGGTGTGTACCAGGTCAGATTTATTGAATGGAAGCGAGGTTGCCACAATAGTAAGTAGTTGGTGGGAGGCAGATAGGTAAATAATGGCATCTATTTTCTCAGGGACTACTGGATTGGGTAGTTAGAACTTGTTTTTATGAAAAATTATCCTTTCTATTTTGGGGCTTGCCCCTACAGCTCTCTGACATTTTAGCCAGCTTCTACCCTTTCACCGACACATGCAATCACTACTTCATCATTTCAGCAGGAGAGAAGGGACACTTTGATGAATAGAACACAAAATAGTTTACATATTTCGGGTATATACTATAATTTTTCCCATTTAATCTGTCAGAAATTCAGTCTGTGCCCAGTTGACACCCTTCCCCCAACCCATTCCATTCAGGACAACTGCAAAAGAATGTCAGGCTTTTCTGTTCTCTGGTTCTCCACGTCTTTCCTTCACATAATACAGGAAGAATTAAATCCAAGTCAAAACTGAATGGGAGGTGCAAAGGAATCTACATCTTTGTTGAAACTAAGACAGCCCTTCAGAATAGGTAGGCAAAAGTGGCACAGAAACCAAGTTGCACACTGAACTTTGCCTATGTAGATTATTTCCTATCTTTGATACTTTTATGCAGAAGAATTTTTATGTTTTTCTCCTGGCCCTCCCCTATGACACTCTATGCCCTCTGAATATGGGGCCTGAACTTCCTGTATATCCTTTTTCTCCTCCCATTGAACAAAAAAGGGCATGTAAGTGTTTGATAAATGACGAAAAATAACTGACAAATCATTTTGCTGTTCTGTTGACTGACTATATCAAGAGAGGAAGAAATAAGGTAATTTCCAATCCATATATCAACTGTATATCCAGGCACCTCTTCAAGCTTCTCTTCAATGTGTCTTGGTAACCCTTTTAAAGTAAGAAAACATTCTTTGCAAAGACTCCCCCTCTTTACAAATGTCCCTTTTCCTCCATGTGATAATCAAGCAACAGATGCAATGCATCTCTACATTTTTTTTTTTTTTTTTTAAGACAGAGTCTTGCTCTCTCACCAGGTGCCAGGCTGGAGTGCAGTGGGGCGATCTCGGCTCACTGCAACCTCCATCTTCCGGGTTCAAGCAATTCTCCTGCCTCAGCCTCCCGAGTAGCTGGGACTACAGGCATGCGCCACCACGCCCAGTTAATTTTTGTCTTTTTAGTAGAGATGGGGTTTCACCATGTTGGCCAGGACAGTCTCGACCTCTTGACCTTGTGATCCACCTGCCTCCGTGTCCCGAAGTGCTGGGATTACAGGCTGAGCCACTGTGCCTGTCTGCATCTTTACTTTTTATTCCTTACAACTCCTTAAATAGCCTACACTTAGCAGAAGACCCCTGCCATTTAAAGCAATGGTTCTAGCATCCTTTTTCTTTTCAGTAATCGTTTACATACAATTATAATTTATTCTGAAATGTTCCTTTAGTTTCGGTTGAGACACAATTCATGTCTCATTAATAAAAGAACAGCCGTCTCACCTCAAATGCCAGAATATACAACAAATTACGGCATAGTAAAAATTCTACCTACTTTTAGATAAAATCTAGTTCAGGTAAAATAGTTTCATTCAATGTTTTAGAGTTACACAGATTTTTGTTTTGTTTTCTTTTGAGCACAAAATAGTGTAAATGATTACACTGTAGCTATGTCTACCCACATCCTGTGACCATATACCTGTTAATCATTACTTCTGAAATTGAACCATTAGTTTCATTCATGCAGTAAAACAAAGTAGGCTAGGTAAACTTGTTTATCAGGACCATATGACTGTGAATTTCCCATCCACATAATAAATTATGATGTTAGATGAACTCAGAAGGGCAAAAACATTTTTTTTTTGCATAAATACCAACTTTTCCCTGATTTAAGTTTAGTCAGTTTATAATCTAGAAATGATTGATAACAGCAATATATCATATTTTCTATCTGTAGTGTTCATTATTTTAAGACAAGTAATTTAAGGAAGTTGGGATGGGATGCTGCTTAAATACATGTAAAACCTACTGTACAAATATACTTGGCTTTACTAATTTTTTTCTAACCATCAAGAGTGCCTCCCAAAATAAGACCAGTGAAGAAAAGTATACCATCAAATACGGCTTCCAGAAGAAAAACCCTCTAAAAATAATCAAACCTAGTTACAAAACTTCTCAGCCTTTTAAAGTTTCATTTGAAACGCAATATCTATATAGCAGTTGTAATTAACATATAATTTTATAACATATAATTTTCTTAGTTTCATTCTTCCAGCTCTTTTAAACAGATGTCACAAGGTAAGACTTAGAATGGCGCTTAGGACTTTGGGTTCCACTGGATTCTGTGCTGTCAGTTTCTGAATCTCGCTTATTTGTGTTGAGGCTACCAGGTCAGTTTTAGGAACAAGAATCAGAATTTTTAGAAGAAGGAAGCACAGGATTGCAGGAGTTGCAGTTACGAGACAAAAAACCGACTTAAAACGCTTACCTAGATGGATGTTTGTGGTGACACCATCTTTTGATTAGATTGCTTCTTGCATAAGAAATATTGAAAAAGAAAACCCTTGGCTAGAAGTTTAATACTAATTGGAGCACTGAGATATACTAGCAGTGGCTATAGTTTATTTCTGGCTTACTTTATGGCAGCACAGTTTACAAACATTATCTACAAGCTGGCCATTAATTTTCTTTATTTTCAGACAGAGAAATTACAATCAGTAAAGTTAAACAGCCTACCTAAGTCAGCTAGCTAAGTTTAGAATCTGGATTCAAATCAGAATTGATTTGAATTGGCTGGTTCTTTCACCTACACACAATGCATCACACCAAATAAGCAACATGCCATAAACACTTAGATTAGACATATTTGTAGATTTTTATAATTTTTAATTTAAAAATGTTGGGTTTTTTTGTTTTAGAAACAGGGTATCACTCTATTGTCATGGTACGATCAAAGCCTACTGTAGCCTTGAACTCCTGGGCTCAAGCGATCCTCCTGCCTTAGCCTGTTGCGTAGCCAAGACTGCCAGTGCATGCCACCACTACCAGCTAATTTTGTTCCCTTTTACTGGTAGAGACGGAGGTTTCACTATGTTGATCAGGCTGGTCCCAACCTCCTGGGCTCAAGCGATCCTCCTACCCTGGCCTTTGAAACTGCTGGGATTACAGTTGTGAGCCACTGGGCCCAGCCTTTAAAAATTTTTAATTGTGGTAAAATACATACAACATAAAAGTTACCGTCACAATCCATTTTTAAGTAGACACTTCAGTAATTTTAACCAGATTATTCACATTGTATAACAGATCTTTAGAACTTTTTCATCTTGTAAAGCTGAAACTCTATACCCATCAAATAACTCATTTCCTCTACCACTAGTCCCCGTCAACCACCATACTACTGTTTCCATGATTTTCACTACTCTAGATGTCCCATATAAGTGGAGCCATACATTATTTATCCTTTTGTGACTGTTGTATTTCAGTCAGCATAATGTCTTCGTGGTTCATCAATGCTGTAACATAGTTTTCTTCTTTTCTAAGGGCCAAATTATATTCATTTGTATGTATATACCACATTTTAAAATTCATTCATCTATCCATGAACATTTGGGCTGCTTTTACCTCTTGCTTATTGCTGCTATGAACATGCTTTCAATTATTTTGGACTTATACCCAGAAGTGAGATTGCTGGGTCATATGGTAGCTCTATTTTTAATTTTTTTTTTTTTGAGGAAGTTCCACACTGTTTTCCATAGCAGTCACATCTTCCACCAGCAGTGCAGAGGGTAGACAGATTTGTTTTTAAATAGAATAACTTGCAGTTTTAGTATCAAACCGGCTGAATAGCTTAGCTTACAGTGTCTTGGAAATTAAATGCAACAAAAACTCTAGAACTTTTAAAGCCAGGTACCATTTAACTGTGAATTAAGTATTTATGGATACAGATGGATGGCCATCCCATTTTAAAAAGAACAAAAGTAGCAGTCATTTTGCAAGAGACCATAACAAACAGAACACAAAGCCCATGTTGTCTCAGCGCAAAGGTATTAGGAAAAGGATTCCCACTTCCTGAAAATAAGTAGAAGCAGGTACGTAAGTTACACACTTACCCTGGTTTTGGCATCGATTTTAGCTCCTCGATCAAGCAATAGTTTTACCATATTTGCATTTCCTCTTTTTGATGCAACATGTAAAGGAGTGATGTCATTCTGGGAAGAACAGGAAAAAAAAAGTACAGGTTTGATATTTTTGGTTTCAACAAAGCATTCCTTTCTAAACTTTCCCCCAACATACCCCCATTTTTCCCCTCTTCTTTTTGAAACATCCTTTATGAACAGTGAGTTTCCTAATACTTCTCTCTGACAGGAATTTTCTTCAGAAGGAAACTTAAAAAAAAAATGAATTGTAAGGGAATCTGTGAGGCAGGGTCCAAGTTAATTTACTTCAATCACTTGAGGTGACTCATGAATGAGGTGATGATTTTTTTTTGTTCAAAAATCCTGCATTTTTTAAGTCAGTGTATTTTCCTATAAATTTAAGTGATACACACTGGCTAGTCAGGGGTTGACTAACAAGTAGCTGATTAAGTCAGTACAGGCTGAGTTTAAAGGAGTGTCATGTGACTTGGAGCCTTTCCCAGGTTCAGTTGGGAGCATCAGGTTGTCAGGGAGAGACAACAGGAACTCAAACTGGAAATCCGTTACTTCTGTATAAAGTCACATGACTTCCCATGCCCACGATGCTTAAATGTGTTTACAGGCTTTTACTGGCAGTCTTATGGAAAACTGTAATTCTTATTTTACAAATATCTGAAGAATAGTCAGATTGTTAGGATAATCTGAAATTCCAGTTGTGTTCTCCTTGATTTCAATGGTGGCTACCGTAGTTATCCTCGCCAAGCATCTTACAGGTACTATGATTGTTTCCAGACTGTCAAGGAAATGTATGCATACATTGAAACAAATACCCTCTTTTGATTTTTCTTTTTCTTTCTTTTTAAGCGACAGAGTCTCGTATGTTGCTCGGGCTGATCTCAAATTCCTGAGCTCAAATGATCCTCTTGCCTCAGCCTCCCAAGTAGCTGGAACTACAGGTGTGTACCACTATGCCTGGCTTCTTATTCTTGTGTACCAGCAATGTGAGTTTAAGGTCTGTTATTCACAAAGAATCAATTACATGATAAATAAACTAGGCTCACAGGGATCATGTATTTACAGTTTGATAACAGAAACAATATAGTAGCTATCAAGTATGGATCACTTCCTATATGTCAGAGACTATGCTAAATATTATCTCATTTAATTCTCACAATCCTCATAATATCATATATAATCTGAATTACAATCCCCATTTCACACATGCAGAAACATCTGGCAGAACCAGGATTCAACTCTTAAACACTTACATGCATGATTTTAAAAACACAATAATGAAAAGTTCCAACATACACAAAGTTTGGGCAAAAAACATAATGAACTTCAAGTGCTCCTTACCCTGCTTCAGTAAATATCAACCTTTTGCCAATATTATTTCTTTTATGCTCCCTACTGTTTTTTTTTCTTTCTGAAGGAGTTTAAGAAGAAGAGAAAGAAAATTCTTGGCATCATGTCATTTTACCCGTAACTATTGCAATTTAATTGCCTCTAACAGATAAGGACATCTCAAAAAAAATCATGATACCATTATAATAACTAAGAAAGTAAAAATAATTCCTTTATGGCACCCAAGACACCTTCCATGTTCAAATTCTCCCATTACCTCCAACTATCCCCATTGTTAGTCGGCTCCAATTGGAAGGTCAACATACTGCATTAGGTTGAAAGGTCCTTTAGGTCTTAATCTCCGTGCTCCTCTATCACACCTTCCTTTCCCCCTGCCCTGTGTTCATTTATTTATTGAAGAAACAGGGTAATTTACTGTGTAGACCCTTCCACAGTCTGGATTTGACTGACTGAATCCTCATGGGGAATCATGTAACAGGTCAACATGTCCTTTTCTCCCTGTATTTTATGTACATTTTTCCAGTTAAATGCTTTTAATTGTAGGATTAGGTTCACAACCTTTCCACAGATGGAAAGTTTGCACATTCTCTTTGCTCTCTATTCTTAGATGCTAGAATATAAATCTTCAACGAAAGAAGAAAGAGACCTGAGGAAAACAAATGTCTCTTAGTAATGTTGGTGGAAAGTAAACATGACTAATATTGCTGTTACCCAGGGTGTAGGTAAACTTTTTCCGCAAAGGGCCAGATGGCAGATACATTCTGCTTTGCAGGGCATACAGTCTCTTTCATTTACTGAACTCTGCCATTGTAGCCCAAAAGCAGCCACAGCCACATGCAATATGTAAAGAAACGGGAGCAGTTGTGTTCCTAAAACTTTCTTTACAAAAACAGACAGTCGTGTGGGCAGTGGTTTGCTGACCCCTGCTCTGCACCTACCAGCTTGCAGCCACACAGCTTTCAACTGCATGTAACGGGTTGCAAAAGAGGAAGTGAAACTATAGGCCGTGCCTTTTGCATGCTGTGGTCTTTTTTGGTGTGGAGGACTATCTGGTATGAGTGAAAGATGGCAGAAGAAAATAAATTGCACGATGACCTTTAGATCTGCTTGCTTGTCTCTGTTTTCTGAGTACAAGTTGCTCTAGTGACCCACGCCACATAGTGGATGAATTCTAGAGCTGAGACAGCGGGTGGAGGGTCAGGCTGGGAATAAAGGAAACACAGTCCAACAGGAGAGCTCACTGAGCCCCATGTGGAACGTGACACGAAGACCTCATCACTTTCCAGTGTGAGTAAGGGCTGGCGTGCCATTTCCCCTTAAAAACATGCCCTCACTAGTTGAGAAAGACTTAATTAACCTTTATCACAAACAGGCTAATTTTAGGGAGAGGAAGAAGTCTATTTCTAATTTCGCTCTCTTCCATATTCATGTATGCTCTCGTACTATGGATGTGTAGATGACAAAAGGTGCCTTAAGTTTCTAACTCCCACATTTTTTATACCTCTCTGACCCTTCCTAGAGAAATACTTTATATTCTATAGCACTTAAACAGTGCTGTAAAGGACTTGCACTTCTCTAATTTCATTCTACCCTCACAACAATCTACTGAAATGGGATAAATATCATTCATTCCATTTGATAAAGAAAGTTAGTCACAAAACTGGTAATTTGCAAATCAAGAAACAGCTAATTAGAGGCAGAATCAGGATCAGAATTCAGGTTTCCACGCCCTCAGGCTGTGGTATTTTCAGGCAGGGTTCAGAAGGCCTCTGTGTAAAAACCCTAGCTTCTCATCTCTGTCTAATGCAGCTTCCGATAAAATGCAAACACTTTTTATTCCTTACTCACACCGTGGATGCCCCTGTTAAGTACAAACAAATCAAAATGAAAGTGGTACCTCAGGGCCACTCAGTGGATTACTTATATTTTGATTCCTCAGTTAACAATTAAAAAAATGTACCGTGCCCTACTGTGAGTAAGGCTATTGCATTTTTACTGCCTAAGTAAGCAACAGAATCACGAAATCTCAACATATCAGAAAAGCTCAGTGATGTTAGAGCTAGAAAGCCTGCCTAAGAGAACCCACGTTTGCTGCTCGTGAAATGCAAATTTGTACATGCTTGCTCGAGTGCAATTTGGCAGTTTATACGAACAGCCTTCAAATCTGTAACCATACATACAGGGCAGAGTTTGGCTGGTGTGGTAGAAAGGGCAGAAATATGGAGAAAGACTCAGCCCTGAATCCAGGCACACTCCCTAAAGACTAAGTCTGCGCCTGCATGAAAGATCCCCTACCCGCAGCACCAGCCTAGCACAGAGTCACAAGCAAGAGTAGTCAACTGCTGAGGTAAGGCAGGAGTGTGGCGAGACCTCCTCTGTGCTGCAGGTGTGCAGAGAAAGCTCAGGGTGGAGCACTAACACCAAGCAAAATTCTCTGATGCCCCAGCCTCCACCCTAAACAGAAGTCAATAGCAGCCCTCCACTAGGGGAATCTGAAGCCTGAAAAAAAAAAAAAATGTGAACTCAGCTCAACTCCTGCCTAAACAGGCTCAACCTCTCACATTTACAGCACAGAAGAAAAAGTAGGAGTATGCTCATTTCCAGACCAAAATATTAGTTAACTCAATCTCTCCCGTTACACACAATATTGTTTACACACAATATCCGGTGTTCTATCTAGCGGGAACAACATGCATGAAAAGATAGGGAATTCCAGCAAAGGCAGAGATTCTTAGCAAAGAGTCAAATGGAAACATTTGATAAGAAAAACCGCAGCATCAGAGTGAATTCCTTTCTTGGGCTCCTTAGTAGAGGTCACACAGTTGAGGCAAGATTCACTGAACTTAAAGATATGTCCTTTTAAGTTATTTAAACTAAAAACATTAAGGAGAAAAAAAGTAGAAAGGAGGGTGCAGAGCATCCAAGAGCTGTGGGATGATATAAAACAGCTCATGAGGGCAGCAGAAGGAGAAGAGACAGAATGGGACAGAAACCATATTTGAAGAGATAATGATCAAAAATTTTATTGGAGCAATGAAAGGCAGAAAACCACAAATCCAGGAAGCTCAGGAGACACCAGGCAAGATAAACAATAAACAAACTCTCCAACCGGACACAACAGTCAAATTGCCAACAATGAAATATAAAGGAAAAATCTTGATGGTAGCTCAAGGAAAAAAGACATAACTCATACAGAGAACAAAGATGATAAGTACAGTGGACTCCTCATCAGGAATTACCCAATCCAGAAAAACAGAAGTGACATCTTTTAATACTGTCAAATGAGAATTCTTCACCCAATGAGAATACCTTTAAAAAATTCAAGGAGCAATAAAGACTTTTTAAGATAAACAAAAGCTAAGAGAATTCGTCAGCAGACCTGAAATACATACAATGTTAAAAGTTCTTCAGACAGTAGGAATATGATAGTAAATAGAAACTTAGATCTGCACCAAGAAATGAAGGGCTCTGGAAATGGCAAAAAAAATGAAGGTAAATAAAAGAGATAACGGATGGCCCAAAGACAAAAAAACAAAAACAAAAACAAAACAAAACAAAACAAAAAACCCACAACGAATGGTAGGGTTTATAATATATACAAAAGTAAAATGCATGACAACAACCACACACATAGATGGGAAGGAGGAATTGGAACTATACTGTTGTCAGGCTCGTATCATATTTGAAAGTTTACTGTGATAATAACA